GATTTGGAGAAACTAAAATTGATATAAGAAAAAGAAACCCGAGGGAAAATACTTGTTAAAGAGGATTTGAAATAGTTTTGAGAGTTTTGAATTCTGAAGGAAGAACAAAGAGGAGGTTAAAATAGCAAGAAATTTACAACTGGATTTAAATTTGAATTTGGAAAAGCAAGAAAAGAAGAAGAAAATTGAGAGAAAATATTTGATATGTGGATTTAAAATACTTTTGCAAATTGGATACTTTATGACTCTGAAAATTGTGGATTGGAGAGAGACATCTACCGGTGGAAAGAAAGCACTACAACGAATAGCTTGAAAATTGGAAAAAATAACTATAGTGACCTTGCGCACTGCAAGAGTTGTGAGAAAAATTAAGGAGTATTTGTTTTTACTCAAATTGCTTGGCCTTGACTGCTAAAGGAGGTGGAATACAAAAACCAGCTGGATATAAGTGTATGGACTTAAATTTTAATTAAATACAGGCTAAAATATCAATATGTGTCAGGAATTAATTGAGATGGTTAAAAATATGCGTGAATCATTAAAGGTTAATAAAAAGTCAGAAATTTTGTTAGAACATACTCAACAGGACAGAGATCATAAATGAGAAGCAAGAAAATAATATTGAAGGCAAAGAAATTGGAAGTAAAAAGCTAAATGGTTACACTGGGATTAACGGTGGCAAAAAGGGAAGGGATAGGACGAAATATTTGCTAAAAAAGAAGCAAGCAAAGGGAAGAGAAGGAAATGGGAACAGATTAGACAAAAATGTGGGGCAAACTATGTGAGTAATAGACCTAAAAGTAAGAGAAAGGATTCAGAAGAAAAGATATAATAATTATAAAAGAAGGAAAAGAAGAAGACGAAGACAAGAGAATGGGAGAAAGGGAGAAAAACGTTAAGAAGTGGAATACTGGAGGGATCAAAAGAAAATGTTTAAAAGGGGAAGAATAGTGGAAAGGAGGAAGGGAAATAAGGTATATAATCATAGAGCTAAGGGAACTGTATTAATATTAGTAATTGTGAAGGTAACAAAGATGTTGATATATATTGTGTATTGTAAAATGAACAGTGGATGAAATATGAAGTGATAATTTGGTCCACTTATGAAAATAATTGAAATTAAGAGATAAACTTGAAATGTAAAAAAGTGTGATGGGGATTTTACATGATGTGTTGTAAGTAATGAAATAAGACAATTAATTGATGCTATAATAAGAAATCAGGAATTAAGAATGGAAAGTGATATTGCTTAAGTTAAAGGGTTTCAATACAAAAATTGAATAAGATGAAACATTGTTTATAGCTAAAAAAAGGGGATGAGGATTTTGAGAAATATATTTTATAAATGGAGAAATAAGGTTAAGAAATTATGATGTGAAGGGCTGATGTTAATATTGTTTATATACTATGTATTAAGAAGAGATTAAGATAAAATAAAAAAGTAGAGAAAAAGAAAATCATGGCAGAAACTGAAATATGCAAATTGTATTTGGAGAAACTAAAAAAGTAGATTGGAACAGATTATAATATATATATAATTATATTATAAATTGTAAAAGATGTGACCCGGTCAATACTCTGTGCATAAAATATGTATGTAAAAGGAAATTTTTAATAAAACGTGTTTACAAAAAAGAAAAAAGAAAAGAAAAGAAAAATGTCAAGGAAACAATTGGTCCATTGTTGGGAGAAAGTGGCAAGAAGGTGACAGGCAACAGGGAGAAAGCAGTACTACTTAACTCATTTTTTGCATCTGTCTTTACACAAAAGGAAAAAACAGTCCAATCTATCAAAAACAGATTAGGAACACAAGTTAAAGTAGGGGGAAAAATGGTAAGTGAACACCTGTCTACCCTAAACGAGTTCAAATCACCAGGACCGGATGGATTACAACCCAAGGTTCTGAAGGAACTGGCAGACAAGATCTCAGAACCACTGAAGTATATCTTTCAAAGATCCTGGAGCACAGGATTTTCCAGCCAGAGGACTGGAAAAGAGCTGATGTAGTTCCCATCTTCAAAAGAAAAAAAAAAAAAATAGATCCAGAAAACTATCAGCCTGACCTCAATACCAGGGAAGATTCTGGAAAAGATAATCAAGCAATGAATCAGCGAACACCTAGAAGCAAAGTATTAACCAAAAGCCAACATGGGTTTGTCAAAAACAGATCATGCCAGACTAATCTTACTGCATTCTTCGACAAAGTGATAAAATTAGTGGACCAGAGGAATACTGTCGATATAATTTATTTGGACTTCAGTAAGGCATTTGATAAAGTAGACCATAACCTACTACTAGATAAAGTAGAAAAATGTGGGTTAGACAGCATCACCACCAGATGGATTCGTAACTGGCTGACCAACCGCATTCAACGTGTAGTCCTCAATGGAACTGCATCTACATGGAGGGAAGTATGCAGTGGAGTACCCCAAGGCTCTGTTTTAGGCCCAGTACTCTTCAACATCTTCATCAGTGACGAGGGGATAGATGGGGAACTCATCAAATTTGCAGCTGACACCAAGCTGGCAGGAATAGCCAACACTCCAGAAGATAGGCTTAAGATACAGAAGGATCTTGACAGACTTGAACATTGGGCGCTATCTAACAAAATGAAATTCAATGCTGAAAAAATAAGGTTCTACATTTAGGCAAGAAAAACAAAATGCACAGGTACAATATATGTGGTACCTCACTCAACAGTAATAACTGTGAGAGGGATCTTGGACTCCTAGTGGACAACCATTTAAATATGAGCCAGTTTTAGGCTGCATAAACAGAGGGATAGAATCAAGATCACGTGAAGTGTTAATACCACTTTATAATGCTTTGGTAAGGCCACACTTGGAATACTGCATTCAGTTTTGCTTGCCACGATGTAAAAAAAATGTTGAGACTAGAGTGCAGAGAAGAGCAACAAAGATGATGAGGGGACTGGAGGCTAAAACATATGAAGAATGGTTGCAGGAACTGGGTATGTCTAGTTTAATGAAAAGAAGAACAGGGGAGACATGATAGCAGTGTTCCAATATCTTGCCACAGAGTTGGTCTCCTCCGGGTCCCGTCAGCTAAACAATGCTGGCTGGCGTGCGTGCGGGGGACGGCCTTCTCTGTGGTGGCCCCAACTCTCTGGAACCAGTTACCTCCTGAGGTCCGGACCATCCCCACCCTATTGGCCTTCCGAAAAGCGGTGAAGACCTGGCTTTCCCGGCAGATCTGTGGCCGTGGATCTCGCTCTTGTGATCTGGCGAGATCCGGCCATGAATGGCGTGAATTAGTTTTTAATGTTTTTAATTTTTAAATGTTCTTTATAATTATTTTTTTAAATGTATTGTTTATCGCCCTGAGTCTTTGGAGAGGGGCGGCATATAAATTGAATTAATTAAATTAAATTAAATTAAATCTCAGGGGCTGTCACAAAGAAAAGGGAGTCAAACTATTCTCCAAAGTGACAAGGGTACAACAAGAAGCAATGGGTGGAAACTAATCAAGGAGAGAAGCAATTTAGAACCAAGGAAAAATTTCCTGACAGTTAGAACAATTAATCAGGATGTCCACTGTCCTCACTATTGTTTGTACTGACACTGGAAGTTTTAAATAGAAATATTTGAGAAGAAAAAGAGATAAAAGGTATGAAAATTCAGAAAGAAGAATATAAGTTGCAAGCTTTTGCAGATGACCTGGTCTTTATTATTGAAGAACCATTAATGTCAATAAATAAATTGTTAGGAAACATTGAAGAGTTTGGGGAAGTAGCTGGTTTAAAAACTAATAAAGAAAAGACAAAGATAATGACTAAAAATATGTTGAAAAAGCAGAGAGAAGAATTGATGGAGATTTCAAATATGCAGGTCACGAATAAGGTAAAATATTTGGGGATACAATTGACAACAAGGTGTAGTTCTCTTAAGGAAAATAATTATAACAAGGTTAAACGACAGATAGGACAAGATTTGGAAAAATGGGGAAACTTGCAACTATCTTTAATTGGGAGAATTGCAACCATTAAGATGAATATTTTGCCTAGAATGTTGTATTTGTTTCAGACAATTCCGATAAAGTTGGATAAGGATTTTTTTTACAGATTTGAATAAAATGATATTGAAATATATTTGGCAAGGGAAAAAGGCAAGAATAAAAATTAAGTTGTTACAAGATGCTAAAGTGAGGGGTGATTTTGGTTTACCTAACTTTGAATTATACTACCAAGCAGCTAGTTTAATGTGGATTAAAGAATGGATAACATTGAAAAACATGAGATTACTGAATTTGGAGGGACATATGTTGATGGGATGGCATGCCTTTTTATGGTACAAAGGAACTAAAATACAGGGGTATTTTAGAAGACATCAGATACGTGAAGCTTTGCTTTTGAATTGGGAGAGGATTAAAAAATATCATTATTTGAAGATTCCAGTCTGGGTATCTACAATTGAAGCTTTTTCATATCCAGTGATATTTAAAAGGGAACAAATTGTTAGATATAGTGAATTATTGGATGAAAAGGGTGAACTTAAATTAAAGCAAGACTTAGAAGATCAGGGATTTAAGATGGATTGGTTTTCATATATGCAAATATTTCCTAGATATCAAGAAGATCTCAAACAAGAAGGTTTTTATAATGTTTTGATTACTTTAGATAAGATATTGATGGGTTCTGATGACTATGTAATTAAAAAGTTGTATGGACACTTGCTAGAGGCAAAACTGGAAGAACAACAAGTTAAAGAATCAATGATAGCATGGGGCAAAATTTTGGTTATGGTATTAATTTAGAGAAATGGCAATGTCTACGGCATATAAGGAGAATTTGTATAAGATGTTTTACAGGTGACATTTACCCCCGACGAGGATAGCCAGAATGTTCAAGAACAAATCGGAGAAGTGCTGGAAGTGCCATCAGACCCCAGGATCTTATTACCATATGTGGTGGACATGCGTAGAAGCAAGGAGATATTGGACTAAGATACACACATGGTTGGAAAAAATGACAAAGAGCCATATTGATCTTAAACCAGAGATGTTTTTATTAGGGATCTTACCAGAGACATTTAACAAAGAATTATAATATTTAATTGTGAATATTTTAACAGCGGCTAGAATTGTATTTGCAAAAAAATGGAAAGGAGAGAAGATGATTACTGATGAAGAAATTATTAAGAAAATGTTGGACTGTGCCGAAATGAGTAGATTGACATTTGAAATATGAGAACAGGAAGATAAACAATATTATTTGATATGGGAGCTATTTTATCAATGGATAGATAATAAAGCATGGAGATGAAATATTATATATGAAATGAAATTTGGATAAAATGTTTAAGCACTTGTTTTTTATTAGAGAATATCTGTTATATAATGAGTTTGAAAATTTTGAGAGCACGAAATGATTTTCACTGATCAAAATACTGTCTGTAAGTGTTTGGAAGGTTGATGGTTTTATGTTGTTTTTGTTTAAAAAATAAAAAACTTTTTGCAAAAAAAAAAAGTTTAGCTCTCAGGTACGTTCAGAGACTTTTACCTGTTATATCGAAGGAAAGAAAAGTGTGCTACAAGAGCAAATGGGGGTGGGGAAGAGAAACCAGGACATGGAATGCTTGATGGGTACAGAGATGAGACTGGCTCCTGAGGCACTTTCTGCAGGATTCCCGTCAACCCCGGCAGTGCCCTGAGATAGCTCGCTGAATTAACAAGACGACAGCAGAGAAATACATTTATCTGAAATTTAAATCATAGGGCACATAACAAGAAAATATGTCAGGGAGAATACATACCTCTGTTATGACCTATCATCACTTAGCTTCAGTGTGAGGAATTTCAATCACTCACAACTTGACTTCTCCCTGGTGGCACTGGATTTTTTTAACAGCACAACTAATAGTCAGGAATGATGGGAGTCTAGTGCAGTAACCACTGGAGGGCCATCACATCCTTATTACTGAACTACAGTTTTTACCACAACCCCCAAGTCTTGTCTTCCTTCCTATCATCCTTCCTTCCCTTCCTCAGTCTCCGTCTGTCCCTGTCTGTCCGGGGCGGGGGGAGGAAGGATCCCCTGAACTGGTGCTAGATGGTGGGAATCTGACATCCAGAGGCTGATGAGCCGTACAATGATCAACTGGTCGGCAGAGACCCAAAGACCACCTGGCTGAAACACGCCCTCCCCTACTCCCTCTCCCCTTTACCTTTGCGGTGAGCATACCGTGCATTGGAAGATAAGGGCGACGGCTAGAGGAGGGGCCATGCGGGTGGCACAGCCAGCCACGCAAGAAATGGCTGGTAGGGGTGGGGCGAGGGGCAGGGCTGAATCCCACCACTGCGTGCGCCCAATACATTGCTTCAGCAGGCCATATGCATCCCACAGGCTGTACTTTGAAGACCCCTGTAGTAAAAAGTTATGTCCTGTCCTTAGATTTTGGATGGGGAAATGCAAATTTTAATTTGTGATTAATCCCATCAATTGGCATTCTAGGTGTTTTGTTTGTGAATAGGCTGGCCTAGATTTCTTAATGGACACAAAATATCCATCTCTAAAAACTTCAGGCATCTGCTGGAAACTGTTGTGGCTGCTTTCTGCCTTTGCTAGTATTTTTTTTTCTCCATTTCTCCTTTGGGAAAATAAAATATTCTGCCTCTTTTTAATATTCCCTAAAATATTTCATTCTTTGGGTGGAGGGGTGTGTCTGTCGTGATTACTCCATACAATACACTCACACTTTTTGATCTAACTTTAAAGCAAGGGGAGGATGTTAATTGATGAAATGATCCCAAGAACTTCAGCAGCATTAAAGGACAGGGTTTCGGTTGGAGGTTTTTAAGAAGAGACTGGACAGTCTCTTGTCTGAAATGGAATAGGGTCTCCTGCCTTGATCGGTGGATTGGACTAGACCACCTCTAAGGTCCTTCCAACTCTCAGTCACTTTTTTCGGTGCTGTTGAGTTACTAAATGAACTGTTCTAACCTGAGGACTGCCTGTAAGAAAAAAGGCAAGAAATATTCTGCACAACCACAATGACATCCTGATTAACATAGTCCTCACTTAACAACAACCATTTGAATCAAGTCCATTCCTGACTGGTGTGGTCATTAAGCGAATCACTGTGTTCTGTTCAGTGCAATGTACCATGAGTGGGACTTGCAACTTCCTGTCAATTTTGTTTATTGGAAGCCAGTTGTGAAGGTTCCAAATGACAATTCCAAGACTGGGACACCGAAAGTATCGTAATTGCAAGCCAGTCCCACCCCCAAATAACTGTGATGGGCACAACTTTGAGGAATTACTTTTTAAGCACCAGTGTAATTTTGAAGGCTGAGTAGTAAGCGGTAAGCGAGGACTGTCTATAAAACTGAACATCCCAAAGGGTGCAAATAGCTATTATTAAAGGAAATCCTAGGTTAAGCCCAGTTCTTCCAGGATAATAAATGGATGGTGCACCACTAGGAAATCCTGTGTTTCTTTGCTAGGTTAAAATAAAATCACAGAAGACAGCAATGGCATAAGAGTTCCATATTGTTTCCAAGAAAAGAAGGTGTCCATAAAATCACAAGGCCACCCTCATATGAAGGAGAACCAGTTTTAAAGCATGTACCACAAATGGAATAAAATCTGGGGAGAAAAGGAATATGTAGCAACTGACATGTTTCAATCGAATTGCTTCTTCTGGCTTTTGAAACATGAAGGTCACCTGCAGGGCAGAACAGCCTTTACATCTGAAATTTTACATTGCTTTTATCACTACTCTATAAACTCCCCCAATATATTTGCTATTCATACGGTTTCTTCCACTTGCGTGCCTCATTCTTGACACAATCTGAACAGACATGCTTGGTGCACTGAATTCCTGGAACTGTTATCATGTTTCCCCAAAAATAAGACCCTGTCTAATATTTTTTTTTAATCCTGAAATAAGTGCTTGGCCTTATTGCCATGCGCTCAAAAGCACGATTGGGCTTATTATCAGGGGATGTCTTATTTTGGGGGAAACAGGGTAGAAAAAGAAGAACGTTGGAAAAAAGCCCTCATGTCTCTTCTCCGCTTGTTTTTTCCTTATATGAAGAAGCACAATCTCTTTAACTATAGTCTCAGTGCTCCAATCGCCAAGAAATGTTGGCTGGAGAATTTTGAGGCTGAAAATCTTGGGGGCCCCCAGGGAGAAAAAGGCTGGGATTCCTGGCACCTAGCATTTCTATTATCAACTATCACAAAAATGCAAAGAACACTCCAAAAAAGTTTTTTATATAATAGCCAAATTTCTACAAAAATAAATATCCAGCAACTTCTTATGCTGAAAGCAAGATAGCCATTATCAAAGTAATATGTTCCATTTTTTCTTTTCTCTGCTGCATCTAATACCATTGCATATTTGCCTACAAAAAAATCAGGCAAATTCTAATTAATTTAATCAATTTAAATAGCCAATATATCAGCTGGACTTATAATGGGACATCAGAAATGAAATTCAAGCCTTCTCTACACTTATCATTTGGCCATCATGTGGATTTTTCTGTGTGCAATAAGGGTGGAATATTTCCTGAAGCACCATCCACACTCAGGACACTAAAATGGTTTCTCCCCTTTGTGTATAAGGACATGATTCATAATATTAACCCTAGTACTGAGATCTTTCCCACAGTCTCGAAACTCATACAATTTCCCTCCTGTGTGAGTCCTCTGGTGTTGAACCAGGTTGGAATTCTGACTGAAACTTTTTCCACAGTCAGGACATTTAAAGGGTTTTTCTCCTGTGTGAATCCTCTGGTGTTGAACCAGGTTGCAATTCTGACGGAAACTTTTCCCACAGTCAGGACATTCAAAGGGTTTTTCTCCTGTGTGAATCCTCTGATGTGTCACCAGGTTGGAATTCTGACGGAAACTTTTCCCACAGTCAAGACATTCAAAGGGTTTTTCTCCTGTGTGAGTCCTCTGGTGTTTCACCAGGCTGGAATTGTTACTGAAACTTTTACCACAATAAGGACATTCAAACGGTTTCTCTCCTGTGTGAATTCTCTGGTGGCCGATGAGGTTGGAATTATGACGGAAACTTTTCCCACAGTCAGGACATTTAAAGGGTTTTTCTCCTGTGTGAATCCTTTGGTGTTGAACCAAGTTGGAATTCTGACGGAAACGTTTCCCACAGTCAGGACATTCAAAGTGTTTTTCTCCTGTGTGAGTCCTCTGGTGTTGAACCAGGTTGGAATTCTGACGGAAATTTTTCCCACAGTCAGGACATTCAAAGTGTTTTTTTCCTGTGTGAATCCTTTGGTGTTTCACCAGGTTGGAATTCTGACTGAAACTTTTACCACAGTCAGAACATTCAAAGGGTTTCTCTCCTGTGTGAATACTCTGGTGTTGAACCAGGTTGGAATTTTGACTGAAACTTTTCCCACAGTCAGGACATTCAAATGGTTTCACTCCTGTATGAATCCTCTGATGTTGAATCAGGCTGGAATTGTTACTGAAACTTTTCCTACACTCGGAACACTCAAAGGATTTCTCTCGTGTGTGAATCCTTTGGTGTTTCACTAGAGTGGAATTGTTACTGAAACTTTTACTACAATCAGGACACTCAAAGGGTTTCTCTCCTGTGTGAGTCCTCTCATTTGTCTCCAGGCTGGAATTCTTACTGAAACTTTTCTCAGAACTAGGACATTCCAACAGTTTCTCTCCTGTATGAGTGCTCTGGTGTGAAACGAGGTAAGAATTTTGACTTAAAATATCCTCAGAATTAGGACATTTAAAGGGCTTCTTGCCTGTGTGAATCCTCTGGTGTATGACCAGGTTGGAATTATCGCAGAAACATTTCTCACAATCAGGACATTCAAACAGTTTCTCTTTGGTGTGAGTCCACGTTGCCATACTTGCTAAAGCATTTACTGCTAAAGCACTTGTAGGGCTTCTCTCCTGTGTGGGTCCTTCCAAGAACCACAATGGAGGTTTTCTGATCAGAGGTTTTGCCACATTTAGAGTATTGTATGGCGTTTCTCCAGTCAGGATCCCCTCTGGCATAATCAACTGTGATTTGCAAGTTTTATCTTTCCCACAACATGCACATCTATGGAGCTTTTCCACAACTCATATTCCTTTGGAGGGCAAAAATATGGATGATCCCTTGTTTAGCAGTGCTTTTATTCAAGCCGTTTCTTTCCTCCCAGAGGGGGCCTGCAACTCTGTCTGCTCTACGTGGTTTTGCAATTGACGTTTTCCTCCCCAGTAACTTCCAGATATTTCCCTCTTTTGCCCAATGGAAAAATAATCTCCCTTGACTTTTCATGTAATGTATGCTTGAATTTCACACTCTACGTTTCCCAGCTAGAAATCTCTTCTTGATTTTCTCTCGTTTTCCTCTCACTTGGTGAGGAAGATTAAGAATTGTGTGGCTCTCTGAAGGAAATGGAAGATATATTGATTTCTGGACTGACTTGCTTTGGTGTTCAATGTTGCTTGTTATCCTCAGTTGTCCAGAGTGCTCATTGCCATCTTCTTTGTCTATAAGATTCAAATAAAAATGTATCTTTAATTGTGCACGAAATGGCTGCAGAAAATGAGAAAAAAAGAAAAAGGGTTACATTACAATGAAAAAGCAAACATGCCACAATACTCAAAGAAGCTCTTACATTAATCATGACACATGGAAGACTACCCAGATCCAAGTTCGAATATCCATTCAATGATGAAATTCCCTTGTTGACTGGGTCAATCACAAATTCTTAGCAGTGGAAACGGTTGTTTTCACATACAATCAAGTGAAAAAAAAAGTACATCCTCTTTCATTTCTATGGTTTTACTTATCAGGGTATCATAAATATCATCGCAACAGAACAGAAGAGAATAACAGAATTGGAAGGGATCTTGGAGGTCTTCTAACGCAAGCCCTGCTCAAGCAGGAGATCCAATAGCATTTCGGAGAAGTGGCTATTATGTCTCTTCTGAAAAGCTTCCAGTGAGGAGGTTTATCACTGCTTCCATAGTATAAAGAAGTGAAGTAGCAGCCAAGTACTGCTAATAAAGTGCCTGTCATATTCTGGCCATCAGCAAGGAATTTAGACAGAGCCAAAGACAAACTTTATCCAACAAGCTATAAAAAGCAGCACAGTGACGAACAGGCAATAGGCAAAGTCAGTGCTAACATGGTTAATCCCTCCACCGTTTATATAGCATCAGTTCCACCCACACAGCTCCATCCAGGACCCGCCCCTATAACCCCCCACCCCTTACATGGTGTCCAGTGATGACACAGCCCAGCGCACAGGGCATACATGCTGAGGGCACGACACACAGGCCTCGCCTCCCATCCAGCCCTGGCAGGCTTTGCGCAGCCCTGGATAAAGCAGGACACCGCCTCAACAACGGTAGGTACTTTTCAAGTCATGGAGGCCTTGTCCTAACAACGCCCTTGAAGTGATGTCCCGGTGCCTGGAGGCAGTACGGATCTGGATGGGGAGAAACAGGCTCAGGCTCAACCCATCCAAGACCGAGTGGCTGTGGTTTCCGACGTCCCGATATAGTCAGCTGGTGCCATCGCTGACTATTGGGGACGAATCATTGGCCCCCATGGAAAGGGCTCGCAACTTGGGTGTCCTCCTGGATTCACGGCTGTCTTTAGAAGAGCAGTTGACGGCCGTGACCGGGAGGATTTTTCATCAGGTTCGCCTGATCCGCCAGTTGTGTCCTTTTCTAGATAGGGACTCCTTACGCACGGTCACTCATGCCCTCGTCACCTCCCGTCTGGACTATTGTAATGCTCTCTACATGGGGCTCCCCTTGAGGAGCACTGGAGGCTCCAACTGGCGCAGAGTGCGGCCGCGCGGGTGGTGACAGGAGCGACGTGGCGCTCCCATGTAACACATCTCCTACGCGAGCTGCACTGGCTCCCGGTGGTCTTCCAAGTGCGCTTCAAGGTTTTGGTTATCACCTTTAGAGCGCTCCATGGCTTAGGACCTGGTTATTTACGGGACCACCTGCTACCACCAATAGCCTCCCACCGACCAGTACGCTCCCATAGAGAGGGGCTCCTCCAGGTGCCGTCGGCCAAACAATGTCGACTGGCGGCCCCCAGGGGGAGAGCCTTCTCTGTGGGGGCACCTACTATCTGGAACAAGCTCCCCCCGGAGATACGGAGGATCCTGGATCTGCGTACCTTCCGTTGCGCGCTCAAGACTTTCTTATTTCATCAAGCTGGCCTGACCTAAGTCTTTCCCCTTTTTAAATGGAAATTTTAAATTTGGTTTTAAATTATTGGGGTTTTAAATTTGTTCAGCCAAATTATTTAATTCGTTTTATCTTACTTTAATTTTTGTATTTATATGTTTTATTCTATGGCTGTTCACCTCCCTGAGTCCTTCGGGAGTAGGGCGGTATATAAATTAAATAAAAACAAAACAAAAACATAACAAAACTTGTGCTGCTGAGTTGGCGGCTCCCGGCAGCCCCGGTGACATTGCAGAGGGATACAATCAAGATCAAATGAGGTACTAATACCACTCTGTAAAGCCTTAGTAAAAACGCAGCTAGAGTACTGCATCCAGTTTTGGTCACCACACTATAAAACAGATGTTGAGACTCTAGAAAAAGTGCAGAGGGGAGCAACCAGGATGATTAGGGGACTGGAGACTAAAACATATGAAGAACGGTTACAGGAACTGGGCATGGCTAGTCTAGTGAAGAGAAGGACCAGGAGAGATATGATAGCAGTCTTCCAATATTTGAGGGGCTGCTACAGAGAGGAGGGGGTCAAGCTATTTTCCAAAGCTCCAAGGAGAGATTCAACCTAGAAATAAGGAGTTACTTTCTTTCTTTTTTTTAAACAAATTTTATTAAACATAAAAAAAGATAAAATATCATATCGAGTACATATAAAATACATTTATATTAATCCATATAACATTATTTACTCACAGCTAAAGATGAAAAAGTAAACGAAACAAAATAAGTAAAAGAAAAGAAATGTAGAAAATGATTTGTAAAACTCTGAAAGACAATAATATCAATAAACACCCACCCTCAATAAGATAAAGAACGTGATAAAGGAGTTACTTTCTAACAGTGAAAATAATCAACCAATGGAACAGCTTGCCTTCACACATTGTGGCAGCTTCATGACTTGAGACATTCAAGAAAAGATTGGACATCCATTTGTCAGAAATGGTGTAGGGTCTCCTGCTTGAGTGGCGGGGGGGGGTTTGGATTAGATAACCTATAAGGTCCCTTCCAACTCTGTTAATCTGTTAAAAAGATTATTCATAAGTGGGAAACATTCAAGACAGGTGCCAATCTTCCCAGAACTCGACATCCAAAAATATTCACCCCAAGGCCAGACTATGCAATGGCCAGAGAAATTACTAAAAAAACAAAGAGTTATATCACAGACTCTACAGGCTTCAGTTAGCATGTTAAATGTTAAGATTCATAACAGTGCAATTAGAAAAAGACTGAACAAGTATGGTTTGTTTGGAAGGGTTGTGAGGAGAAACCCTCTTCTCTCTAAAAAGGTCATAGCAGCACGGCTGAGGTTTGCAAAGTTGCATCTAAACAAATCACATGACTTCTGGAACACTGTCTTTTGCACAGACCAGACCAAAGTAGAGGTGGATGGCCGTAATGCAGTGACACGTTTGATGAAAATCAAACACAGCATATCAGCACAAGTATCTCATACAAACCGTCATGTACAGTGGTGGAGGTGTGATGATTTGGGCTTGTTTTGCAGCCACAGGACCTGGACACTTTGCACTCTTTGAGTTGACCATGAACTCATCTATATACCAAAGTATTCTAGAGTCAAAAGTGAGTCCATCTGTCCAATAGCTAAAGCTTGGCTGACATAGGATTATGCAAGAGGACAATGGACGCAAAACACATCAGCAAGTCTACAACAGAATGGCTGGAAAAGAAAAGAATCAAGGTGTTGCAATGGCAGTCAAAGTCCAGACCTCAACCCGATTGATGGAACTTCAAGAGAGTTGTGCATAAAAAAACACCCACAAACCTCAATGAACTGAAGCAATGTTGTAAAGAAGAATGGGCCAAAATTCCTCCACAACGCTGCAAGAGACTGATTAAAGTCATACAGAAAAGAATTACTTCTAGTTGTTGCTGCTAAAGTTGGTTCTACAAATTATTAAATAATATTTCTTTTACACATAACTTCTCTGTTTTGGCTTTCTTTTTATAAAATAAAAGATGACCTGATGTAAGTCAAGAAGAGTGTACTTTTTTTTCACATGACTGTTTATGTGCAAGTCCTGGGGAGAGATTATGCATTTGGAAATATATACAATCAGAGAGAAATAATACAGACACCTACAATATGGAGAAAATCAATGTCTTTCAAGCCTGAAAAATATCTCAATCATACCTTCTGCGCTAATGTTAATCAGGAATCTGATCAACTTGATGTTTGCTCATATGTTGAGATGGTAAGGCTGAAGTTCAGGCCGCAACAGTCTTCAGAGGCCATGGAAACGTACATAGGAAACCACTAGCCTGTCTGTTAGGCATGTGACCAAAATCATAGAAGGCATGCTTGACTATTTTTATAATTTTTATTATTTCTATATTTCTATACTTATGCCCATGGAACCATGAACTCCAAGTAAAGGCAGAAAATACTTTCCATAACCCCTTTGGTGACATCCCAATTGAAGTAGTCCTCACTTAGTGACTGCAATTGGGACTGGCACCTGTGTCACTAAGCATTTTATTTCCAGCTCCTTTCTCCTGGCTTGGAACCAGACTGGATTTTTCATCCTACAATTTATTTAGATTTTAATGTGTATGTATTATTTTCTGTCTCTAAGCCGCCCACAGTTATGTCATGGTAAGGTTGGTGGCCAATACATTTTATAAAGAAATAAATACAACTGAACAGTCAAAACATTCAATAGCTGGTTTTTAAAAAGTGCTGGGATAAGCACAGTTGAACCTGGTGAATACACGGATGGGGGCACTGATAGGAAAACACGGTGGTTGTTAGCTAGAAATGGAAGCAAAACAACCCAGAAAGGCCTAGAGACACATAAGTCCGATCTTGTTGCCCAGAAAACATCAGGTCCATAAGAGAAGAATTGAGTTGGGGGGACCTTGGAGGTCTTCTAGTCCATCCCCTGTTCAGGCAGGAGACCCTATTCCGTCCAGAACAAATGGCTGCCCAATCGCCCCTCAAAGCCCTCCAGGGACGGAGCAGCCACAACCTCTGGAGGGAAGCCATTCCCAAAGAACCAACCTCCACTTGAAAGAGGCTTTTTCAAGCTTCCCACCAGCAGAAAATTGCAGCCCCCAGTTTCCCAGCCTGCAGCACCAGTGGGCTTCCATTTGGGGAGGGAAGGAACCTGCAGCAGCCGCAGCTGAGAGGCTTCAGCCCAGTTGCTTCTCCGCTTCCAGCCCAAGTTGCTCCCGGACTCTCCTCCCACCTGCTGCCCTCCACTCACCTGCCAGCTGCTGCTCCGACCCTGGGAAGAGCAAGAAAGCCGCTCTGCACACCAACTTCCTCCCATCAGCCATCCGGAAGAGGAAGTTCCTCTGCGCTTCTCCTCTCTTCCCATCCTTTCTAGCAATGCAGTACTCAATGGTTTAAAAACTCCTTTTTTAAGCGCAATCAGGGATGGCACCATTGAATTGATGGCTTTCTAGGCACAGACGTTGCCTGACCGCCATCTAGCGCCAGGAGGTGGAAAAAGACTCCTGTCCAGTCTTCTCCAAGGCTTTTGGGAGATGTTTTTGACTCCTAGCAACCGACCTTTGCAACTGAGCCAAGTGAAAAAGTGAAACGTGACACTATTTAGCTTCGTATTTGGTGCCTTTCGGTCAGTCTTGATGCCTGGCCTTTCAGTTTCCTTGGCAAAGGTTTTTGTAAGTAATTCCCTATTTTTCTTCCCTCATTTGTTAAGTGAATCCTTGCTATTGTTAAATTAGTAATACGGTTATAGCACAGTCATTAAGTGAATCTGATTTCCCAATTGACTTTGCTTGTCAGTAGGTCACAAAAGAGGATTACATGACTCTGGAACACTGCAACAGTCATAAATGTGAATCAGTTGTCGAGTATCCGAATGTAAATGACATGACCATGGGGATGCTACAGTGTTTCCCCGAAAATAAGACCCTGTCTTATATTTTTTTGCACCCCAAAATAAGGGCTTGGCCTTGTTTTCGGGCGGGTCTTATTATTTTCAGGGTGCAGGAGGCCCTGGGCGGCCTGAGCACTCACAGCAGGGGGTCCGGCAGAGAGAGGGTGCCGCCATCAAGCCACTCCTTTCCTGCAGGTGTCTGTGCAACATGAGCAGCCTGAAGGCGCCAACCCGCCGGAGCACTTGTGCCCCCTTGCTCGCGCGCCTTCCAGGCCTCACCACATCGATGTGGCTGACTCTCCATGCGGGGCTGTGGCTCCCTTTGCCCACCATCGCCTCTCTGCTCCGGCTGCCCAAAAAGCAGGGGTTTCCTGTTTGGAGGAGAGAAAAAAAGACTTCTGCTTTCTTTGCGTGCAGCCAGCAGCAGAAGCAATAGAAGTCTTTCTTTCTCTCCCAGAAACTCCGCTTCTGCGGCTTCCAAACCCCAGCCAGGGCAGCAGCTGCTCTGGGAGTGTGCTTCCCGCTCTATGGTGATAGTCACTGGAGGCCTCCCCTTTCCCTCTGCTCTTCTCTGCTCCAATTGCCCTGTGGTCTCTCCACCCAGGGTCTGACCGATTGGAGCGCCCACCAGCAAGCCCAGCAAGCCCCTCCGCCTTGGGAGTCACTGGACGGACTCTTCCTGGGGAGGAGAGCCTCGCAGGATCCTTGCCCTACTTCCCTTCTTCCTGCAGGCCCCACTTACTCTTCTCTGGTGCCTGGCAGCGAGACGCCAGGCAGCTGCACCGAGGGCAGCCCCAACAAATGCAGCTTGGCTGGTCCTGCCATGGCCAGCACTCCCTGCCCGCAGTTGAACTTGGCCCTCAGTGGGCCAGCCAGAGCCTCAACAGGCAGCGGCAGCAGCAGCAGCAGCAGCACCTGCAGCACCTCAGCCATCACTGCTGAGAGACCCATGCCCAGCTGCAGGATGCCCCAGGCCTTCTGGATGTTGTAGTTCTCCACTATTTCTGGCCCTGTACCCCACTGTGCATCCGCTGCCCTGCCCCCACCAGAAGCGTGCATGCTGACTTCTGCCCGCCGGACATGGAGGCTTCTCTGCCGCTGCCGCCCATGCTGCCAAGGAAGCCCCGGGCTGGCAATGCTGGCACTGGGGCTGCTGTGACAGGCGTTCAATAGCATGGGCTCTGCGGACGTGGCGCCTGGGTGAGAGCAGGCGCTTGATGTACGGTCAGTGCCGAGGCGGCAAGGGGCACAGGATTTCGTAGGGATGTGGTTGCCTTAGGAGGGTTGGGGGTGAGGGACCTGTGTATGTGTGAGAGAGAGAGGGTGGGTGGGTGGGATGGAGTGAACATTGCTGCCAACCCTGGATAACTCTCCAAAGTTGGATTGGATCTCTCTCTCTCTCTTTCTCTCTCTCTCACACACACTTTCTTTCTCTGCGATCACAGCCAGACACCCCTTCCAGGATTGCGAGGGTGAAGGCTCCGGATGGAGCATTTTGGAGATGTGTGTCTGTGCTGCGATGCCAAGTAAAGAACAATAGGCAGGAAAAGGGGGAGGAGGCCAGCAGCTGGGGAGGTGCTCGGGAGATCTGGTCACTCAGCTGATTAGTGGGTAACAATTAAGGGGCTGAACCTCCATGAGGTGACCAGGGAAGGGAAGGGCTGCCTCCTGTGCTGGCCACCCCCAACCCTTCACTGGAGCTTATTTTTGGAGGAGGGCGTATATTTAGGCCCACCACAAAAATCAGGCTTGGCCTGATTTTCGGGACATGTCATATTTTTGGGGAAACAGGGTACAATGGTCATAAAAGTGATAAATGGCCATAAGTCACTTTTTTCAGTGTTGTTATAAATTTGGTCACTAAATGAACTCTTGAAAGTTGAGGACTACCTCTAGTTCTCCCGTGCTCCAAGGACTTTGAAAAATATGTTTCAATACTTCTGAAATCACATTTGCTAGTTCCTTCAGAACTCTGGAACGTAGTCCGTCCAGATCCAGTGATTTGAATTGATCTAGAGCTGACAGGTGTTCTTACCTTATTTTTGCATACAGGTAGTCATCGAGTTACAAATGTAATGGAACAGGAGTGGGTTCTACATACCTTTACTACCGGTTCGCATGGGCCACGGGCGCTCTTCTGAGTAGGCGCAGAAGCATTCTGATGATGGGGTCGGTGGGCGGAGCTTCCCGCCGGTTTTACTACCGGTTCTATAGAACCGATGTGAACCGGAGGCACCCCACCACTGTAATGGAGCCTGCCCATTCCATTCTTTGTAACTCAAAGATTCCTGGGAGTGAATCTCATCATTTGAAGGTAATCACTTCCTCCTTTTGCCCACGCATTTGCTAATCGAATGTGAGGCTCGTTAAGTGCACATGTTGTATCTTGCGGTGGGGAAGGCCAAAGGGGGCCTAGGAAGAAAACAGGATACCCACTTCAGACCACCCAGGGCCTCCCCCAACCCATAGATACCTCATTCTCCCTCCCCTGGAGTCCCCACAATTGCTTCCCCCCACCTCCTGCCACATCAGGTAATTTACCTTATGAAAATCTGTCTCCTCTCCAGACTATTTCTTTGACTGCTTCCTCCTTTATTGTCACCAAAGGGCTTGACAAGGCCTCCAGCACCGAGAAAGCAGCCCTGAGAGGCTGCACGCGGCCTCTCGGGCCTTCTTTCTTGTTGCCAAAGCGCTTAAGGATTGCATCTCTTTAGGCTTTGGCAGCTCTTTTCAAAAAGTCTTTGCCTGTAGGAATAGGGCTTCGTAGGGACGCGCCTGCTCCTCCCAAGCTCCGCTGGTGCCAACAAAAGCCTTTTGCATACTGCTGCCAAAGTCTACAGGAATGCAATCTCCCTGCAGGCTTCAGCAAGGAAACAGCAAACGGAGGGAAGGCCTGAAGGACCGAAGCCTTCCATCTGTTTGCAAATGTCTAGGTCTCAATTCACAGAGAATAGAGGCCTAAAGTGCGAGATAACATGAGATCTGTAGCACAAGATCTCATGCTACTTATCTCATATGATCTCGCCGTATGTTAGGCCTCTCTTCTCTGTAAATGCAGTAAAAGCCTGAAGCAACAAAGCAGGCAAAGAAAGCACAACAGAGAGATCTTTACAAGGTAAGTGACTTTCCAAAGACAAAGTGCGTGTGAAGACCTGGCCCCGGATGGGGAGGAGATAGGCAGGGTAAATGTTGCAGAGCCTCTGCTGTCATTCGTAAGTGTGAACAACTGCTGTAGTGCTTCAATATTCATAATTTTAGGATTTGTTCGTAAACACTTGGGGGCGCTTATTGTGTAACTTCAAATGTTGGCTAAGGGAACACTCTATGACCCAGGGATTACCTGTATTTTTTTTTTGAATTTTTTTTATTTTTAAACAAAACACAAAACAACCATCATCCATTACAATTACGGAAAGTGTATCAATCGGTTACAAATCTTTTGTGCTTAATCCCATATCCAAAATTCTCTTATTTGACAATTTATTAAATCCCTTTGTATTATTATTCTCATTTACCAATTATTTAACAGTGGCTTATCTCCCATAAAAACCGCTTCATATATTTTATTATTACATTTATTTCATGTTTCATATTTCATTTCCATGCTTTATTATCTAGCCATTGATAAAATAAATCCCATACCAAGTAATATTGTTTGTCTTCCTGTTCTCTAATTTCAAATGTCAATTTACTCATTTCAGCACATTCCAAAATTTTCTTAATAACTTCATCATCAGTAGGTATCTTCTCTCCTTTCCAATTTTTAGCAAATACAATTCTAGCCGCTGTTAAGACATTCACAATTAAGTATCTCAGTTCTCTATTATACATTTCTGGTAAAATCCCTAATAAAAATATCTCTGGTTTAAAATCAATGTGTTTCCTTGTCATTTTTTCCAACCATGTGTGGATTTTACTCCAATATTTTTGAGCTTCTGCACATATCCACCACGTATGGTAATATGAACCCGGAATCTGATGACACTTCCAACACTTCTCCGATTTATTCTTGAACATCCTGGCTATTCTCGCTGGGGATAAATGCCACCTGTAAAACATCTTATACAAATTCTCCTTATATGCTGTTGACATTGTCATTTTATAAGGATTACCTGTATTTTAATTTGC